GCGTGGTTCAACACACGGGCAGCGGAGACGGCGGCAGGGCTTTCATTTGGCTATCGCTTGCTAAAAATGGAGCGCCTTGGGCCCTGCGCCAGATAAGGGCAGGCCATGGAGGCCGTGCCCGCGGTGGAGGCTGGTGTAGGACCCTGGCGACGGCGTGGCGGCATGGCGGCGACGCCCTCGGCTTGGCTCAGCGCCACTGGACGCCGTGGAGTTCGAGTCCACGCCGGCAACGCCCTGCTGGCCGAGCCGGTCAGCCGGTCGCTCATCTTCGGCCGGTCAAGTCCCATCCCTTATACCCCCTCCATCCTCGACGCGCCTGCTGACAATTTTCTAACTTTACGCCCGGTTCATGAATAATAAATGCGCCGTCTAAAAATAACTCGCTCCATGTTGAGCCGAGTGAGCTGCGTGCAGGTCGTGCAGGTGTGTGGGCTGGTGTCTTGGCTGGTGTCGACCCGGCCGGCACGGCCCCGCTTCCAGGCCTGGAGCAGCCAGAGGTCCTCGCCGTGGTCCAGGACAGTCCAGGACGGACGAACGCGCACAGCGCGGCTCAAAGACCACGCTGTGCACCACACTGCAGCACAAAGTAATCCCACCCGCGGCAGCAGTGGCACCACCACCACCTGGCACCTGCGGCCGGTTGCAAACGTCTCAACGGTCTCCAGCAGGCTGAGGCTCACTCCGAACTGTGCTTGTCTATCCCTGTCACACGGAACGCCGCAGCAGTGCGCGAGAGAGGCAGATGGCGAGTCAGCCTGCTGGACGTCGCGGAGCCGAGCCGGCCTAACAGCACCGCCGAGCTAAATATAGTTCTCCCTGAACGCACAGAATCTTGCCCCCGCCTGCTGCCGCCTGCTGCCGTGCAAGGCCTGGACCGCCTGGATCGGATCGGGCCGGCTGGTGGCGCGGCTGGTGGCGCGGCTGGTGGCGCGGCTGGTGGCGCGGCTGGTGCAGCCAGCCCTGGAAACCTGTTCCTCCCAGTTCCAGCTCCAGCAGCGGCAGTAGGCGAGGATGAGGACGAGGATGAGGACGAGGATGATCCCGGCGGGCTGACTCCGGTCTCTGCGGCCGCATCCCTCGGCCCCTCGGCCGCCGCGGCCAAACTTTTTCACAGTTATTCGCGATTGGCTGTGGCGGTGTGGAGGCCGTGGCGCCTCTAATTAGCACGGCGCCGAGGCGTCCAGCCGGCGTGGCGCGCGGCGCGACACGGGCAGGCGCTGCCGTTTCCTGGTCTTGACACTGTCTTGACTTGGTCGCCGAGGAAGGAACCGGCGCGCTCCTCGGTCGGTGAAGTCACTGAGGTGAACATCCCGAAAAGCAACGCCCTCTATTTCGGACCGCGGCCCGCATCACCGCCGCCACATCGCCCGCGACCACGCCAAGCCGACAGGCAGGCAAGCCGGCGAGGGCCTCGGAGGTCGTCTTGGCCGCCGCTGAGCTGGCCGTCGTGGTTCTTGGCCGCGTGGGCGAAGGCAGCAAGCACGCACACTCATGACAGCCGCGTGACCACCAGGACCACCAACACGGCGCGGCGCGCGGCGGCTCGAAACACACCAAATCGCGTCCACACTGCGACGACTGTGACCCGGCCCCCCACTCCACTCCGATCCGCGATGACGCTGGGCGAATGGGCGGCCGGGCAGTCGGAAGCGGAGCGGTGGCCGGAAGGACTCCTATTATTGCACATCTCGTAGCCTTGCCGCCCTGCCAGCCCTGCCCGGCCCTGCCCGCCTTTATGCGGCTGTGTGACGTCAGCCCATCCGTCGCGCCGCGCCGCCGAGCCGGGGGCAGCCGGGGGGCCGTCTTGGCCGCGGAGCGGAAGCAACAAGTTGGTATCCCTGTCTGCCTCGCCTCGGCCGCACGGCCGCACGGCCGCCTCGGCCCGGGGCAAGCGGCAAGCGCGGCAAGCAGGCCGGCCACCGCCAGAAACTATGCGGCCGTGCGCCGCGGCACGCGACACAGATGTTCGCCGAATAACCCTTTCATTACGGGTCCAACCGCCGCGCCCCGCTACGAACCGCGCGGTGACTTTTGAGCGCGTGCAGTGACGTCCGGTCGCGCACCGCCACGCCGCGCCGCGCCGGCGCGCTGTGTCAGACTGTCAAGACCCAGAACTACGTCGACGGCGTCCATCAGGGGTCAGCCTGAGATACCGTAGAGAATCACGCGCTCGACGACCACCGCGATAATCCGCGTCCCTCTCGATACGGCGCGAGTGAACGCAGAAAGTCGTGGACGCCAATGTCCGACACGGGGCTGGGGTTTGCCATAGACGCATAGTAGGGATTTTCGGGGTTGGCCACCCATTCATAAGGCCCGCAGGCCTAAGTTAGACAGCCCATCCCGCCCCTCCGCGGTCTCGGTGACAGACTGACTGCCGCGTCGGAACAATTATCATTCAATTCGCCTCGCCGGACGCGATAAAAGATTGAGACCGTTTCGCAAAGTGGCGAGCGTCGCAGCCTCAGCTTCGCACGCCTCGCACGCTTCGCACGCGCGTCGAGGCAAATGAAGCAGCAGCACTTTGGCTCGACGACCGGCAGATTGATTCCGTCTCTCTCGCACCAACATACGGCATTCACGCCTTGGGAGTGTGAGAGAGACGGATGAAAGCGCTGCTGGTCTTCTGGGCCGGGCAGTGCCGTCGTAACTGAAGGGCGCAGTGTCTAGGACCAGTTGGTCTACAGGCGGCGGGCGGCGTTCGCAGAGCGTCCCGTCCGCCTTCGCCGCCCTGAATTGCTCTCGTCGCTCTGTCTCTCTCCCACTCATGGGGCGTCCCGAATGGGTGCGAGAGAAACAGAGCGACGAAAACGCCCCTCGGAATGAGTCTACTGTTGGCCGCTTGGCCGCTTCGCCGCGGCCCGCAGGCGGACGGCCGGACGGCCGGATGGACAAGTGGGCGACAATACAAGGCCACGGCGAACAGGCTGGGCAGGGCGGCGTTGGCCAACGAGCGTCGACCTCAGCGCGCACACACGCACACACACACACACACACACATGCCCGCAAATAAATGCATTTCATTACCATCGCCATCATTGATGTGTGTGCGCGCGGTACTTCCCTGTCGCGGTTCACTTGGCAGTTGGGTAAAGTCGCCGGGCCGGGCCGGGCTGGGCCTGGGCCCATTGAGAGTGCGCCGCCGCCTCCACCTTCGCGGCGGGCGTGGCGCGGCGTGGCGCGGCGTGACGGTAGCCTTGGTGCGGCCGGCAGGCCGGCGCCTTCCTGGAGCGTCCACCGGGTCAACCCAACCGGGGTGACGGTGCGCCAGACGAGGGCAACGAGAGAATCCTGCTTGTCCTCACAGCGGGGCTGGCGTCTCCGCGTCGTCGTCATCGGCGGCGGCCCCATGTGGCCAGGCCGGCCAGGCCCGCGCCGCCCGGGCGGCCCGACGACGGCCCGACACACAGAGCGACGCGCAGGCCGCGCTCTCGCTGGCTTCATGCAGGGCCTAATTGTCTCCCGCCGCGTCGCAGGGGCGTCCTGGCGTCCTGGGCATCTAGAGGCATCGCGTCGCGGTTGCCATGGCGACGGGGGTCGAAGGCGTGGCCGGCGTGGCTTCCCCCGGTCCGGCCAGCCCCGCGCAAACACAAGTGCCACCCCTACACGACGGACGGCAACGCGGCCGCGTGCCGCGTCAAAAGTCCGGACGAAAGATGCGCTGTCTGGCAATGCTTCGCAAAGTTAACAGCGCGTCGCTGTGTTTCTCTCGCGTCCTTTTGGGACGCCCCAGCTCAGCCCCATGAGTGCGAGAGAGACGGGCGACGAAAGCATAGCTCGGAATCAGTCTGCAGGACATCAGGACCATCGGCGTCCGAGGCCGGAGACGCGGCGGGAGGAGGCGGGCCACTCGGAACTTGGAGCGTCCGAACGAGTCCGAACGGGGGTGGGTGATGGGCTGCCGGCCTCCTTTGAAAGACTTCAGCTCGAAACCATGCCAATGCGCGATGCGCGGAGGAGAGAGGGAGAGAGAGGGTGGAGGGTGGAGGCCGGGCCCACAAGATTGGCCGAGCGACGGCCAACTAATTGAGAGCCGACAGCCGGCCAAGAAAAGCCAAGTGAGCCACCTCAAGGTGTGTGTTTCGTGTTTTGTTTTCATTCCACGCTACGTGCCGGTCGTTGCCACCGGCACTGCTTTCGTCGCCGTCTCTCTCGCGCCCATCCAGGACGCCCAACGAGTGCGAGAGAGACAGAGCGACGAGAGCAGTGCTAGGAATCAGCCCCAAGAAATGCTGTAGGGCAGAGGTGAGGTGGCGCGCCCACGCCCGGGAGGCTGTCAACCTGGCCGGTGCGGCCGCCGCGGCCACGCCTGCCAACCTCGCGTCACGGACAGTCAACAGTCACGGAAGCCATGTCGCGGTGGCGGCGTGGGCGGCGTACACAGTCACACCGCACGGCACCGCACGGCCCTTGGGTCCCCGCCCCGCCCCGCCGCGCCCCGCCACCACACAGCGGCCCGGCCCGGCGTTCCGACGAAACGCAAGAACGGCGTGGAGCAGGCCAAGTCCCAGAATTTCTTAAATTACGCCCCGCCCCAACGGCCCCGCCCCGCCGCTGCCGATGACCGACGACGCCGCCGACGCGAGTCGCATGCGGTTTGCAATTCAGCAAGTGGTTAACGGTTGCGCCGTCGTGGAGGGGCGGCGGGGCGGGAAAGCGGGTTTGATAGAAAAGGGATGCCGGGAGGGGGCGGGGCAGGCGGGGCCGCCGGGGCCGGGCCTGCCGCCTCCGCGGTGAGGTCACATTCCAGCGTCTTTGTTTATGTGGTTTCCTCGGAGCCGTGAGGCTGTAAGGCGAGGCCGTGAGCGCTGGCGCTGCACTGGAGGGCTACGGTACCAACGGGTACATACCGCGCGTACAGGGTGCGCGCGCCGCCTTGGCTCTCAAGGCGTCGCCAATCGCCCAGCGCTCCGTCTCTCTCGCAATCACGGGGCGTACCGCAGTGATGAGAGAGACAGTGACTTTTAATTCGCCGTACTGTAAGAGCAGATAGTACTCACCATCAAGGCAGGCGGGCAGGCAGGCAGGCAGGCAGCTTGGCGCTGCAGGGCAAAAGGGCTGGCAGCCACTTCCTCGGCGAGCCGAGCTGCCTCAGGCTGTGTTGACACTCGGCCCGCTCGGCCCCGCTTTGATCTGGCTGCTGCTTCCAAGCTTCTTCCGCGGCTGGCCACGGTGTCGCTTCTCCGCCTGCAAGCAGAAACGAGACGTAAGCAAAGCGAGCTTCGAAAAACCAAATGTTGGGGAAAGGAAAAACGCGAGTGAGGCACGAAGAAGACCGGGCTGGGCATGGCCGGGTCTAGTCAAACCAGACGGCCACGCTACGCCACGCTCCGCCATGCTCGCGGTGCGTGTTACATCACACGGTGTAGCGGCAGGACGGTCCGAAGCCCGAAGCCAGGACGAGGCGGAAACTGCCGCCGGACGCGCGGACGCCTCGGCGGACGCCACCAGACCGGACCAGAGAAGACCGCGGGGCCGCCGAAGCCGAGGATACGGCGCAAACCGGAAATGGAAGTTGGAAGTGGACCGCACCACCGCCTGCACGGCCTGCACCGCCACGACCAAGTGGGCGGCCAGCGGGCCAGCGCGACCTTTCACGGGGATGGTCACCGGGTCACGTCGCTCGGTCTCCCTTGCACTCCCGCAGGGGTGCGAGAGAGACAGAGCATGCAGTACGTCGCGGAAGGGAAGCGCGGCCATGCCAGCCGCCAGCCAAGCCGGCCAGTGGTCTGACTCAGAGTCATTTCGTCGCTCTGTCCCTCTCGCACCCGTACGGAACGCCCCATGAGTGCGAGAGGCACTGCCGCCTGCAGGCGGACGAAGGCAAAGCGGTAAAGCCCGCAGCGGCCCGGCTAGGCCGGCTACGGCTAGGCCGGCTAGGCCGGCTAGGCCCTCTAGGCCCGGCCTGCCGTTTGCTTAGCGATATCAGAACCGCAGAGCCGCCACGCCGCCATCGTCACAGAGAGATTGTGCACCAAAGTTGCATCATAAACAAGTTTCCAGGCGTTGGGTCTGGGGGGCTGGGGCTTGCATGCCCTCTGCCTCGCTCTGCCTCGCTCTGCCTCGCCCGGCCGGCGGACTCGCAGAATGGCCGGCACAAAACTTGCCGCGACCTGGCGGGGATTCGGGATTCGGATCCGATAATGGTCTGTGTGAATCCTCGCGTGACCGCTTGCCAGGCCAGCTTGCCCGCCCATCGTTCCGTCCGGCCGGCCTGCCGCCGCGCAGCGCAGCGTCCTGGACGAAGGTGCATGGTGGCGCCCCGCGCCCCGCGCCCCGCGCCCCGCCCCGCCCGGACCGGGCTATCTTTAGCAACTGATGTCAATACTGTAGCATAAATAAATGTTGCCGGGCCGGTCGGCCGTTGGTTGGTTGGCGTGCCGTGTGTGCCGTGGCCGTGCCACTCCGCAGTGCCGCCGCGGCAACAGTGCATGGTATGGGAATGACCTGCCGCTGGGGCGCTGGCTGGCTGGCTGGGCGGCGCACCGCCGCGCGTGGTGGGGCAGGTCCGAGGACTAAGCCCCTCGAGGCGCCAGCGGGCTCATTCCGAATGCTCGCACTCAAGGGCCGTCGCCGTCCAGTAGCGGTGCGAGAGAGACAGCACTGTTCGGAAGCCAGCTTGTAGGGGGTCGCGGCCGCCGGCGGCGGCGGCCCGAGCTCCTCGCCGTCCCACAACGAGCACCTCGGGACCATGCATCTTGCAGGGTCTGCGACCTGAGCGAGGACGCGCCTGCTGCCTCGCCGGCCTGCCCTGGCCTGCCCACACACTCACACACGCGCACAGGTACACGCACACACACCAGTTAGTTAACAAGCCAGCGTACATAATATTTCCAGGCCGTCATGCTCCGGCGCCAATTTCAATTCATCATGCGGCGTGCGGCGAGATGCTATCGGCGGGGGCTCTTGGCTTGGCTTTGGCTGGGCTGGGCTTTGGCTTCGGCTACAGGCAGGCCGGGCCAGCGCGGCGCGACGCACGGCCCAGCGGGCCCAGTCTGCAATGCAGCGCCTTTGCGCAAGTCCACGGCTTGGCCCACGGCTTGGCCCACGGCTTGGCCCACGGCTTGGCCCACGGCTTGGCCCACGGCTTGGCCCACGGCTTGGCCCACGGCTTGGCCCACGGCTTGGCCCACGGCTTGGCCCACGGCTTGGCCCACGGCTTGGCCCACGGCTTGGCCCACGGCTTGGCTCACGGCTTGGCCCACGGCTTGGCCCACGGCTTGGCCCACGGCTTGGCCCACGGCTTGGCCCACGGCCCCGCGACCTTAGGGACTGGATCCCCCAGTGGGCCACACAACGGCCCCCAACAAGCATGCTGCAAGTCCAGCCCGGCGCCAGGCAGCGGACTCATTCCGAAAGTCGTTTTCGTCTCTGTCTCTCTCCCACCTGTACGGGATGCTCCGTCCGTGAGTGCGTGCGAAAACGACCCTCGGCAATAGCGACCGCTCGCCCTTCAGAACGCCCTTCAGGCCGTGGATCACGCCACCGACTAATCCAGGGCTGGGCTAATCCAGCAGCTGTTCGTCCAGCGCCACGCCCCGCCAGCCGGCTGTCTCTCTCGCACTAATTAGGCGTCTTGTAGAGGTGCGAGAGAGGCAGAGCGACGAAACACACGAAGCGCTGTGCGGAATCAGTCTATACGGTCCCACCGGGTCCGCCTGCCGCCAGGTAGCTCAAGGTGATCCTGGCCGTCCTCCTGGTCATCCAGGCCCAGCTGCTCGCAAAGGCGGCCTGCCTGTCCGGCTGGAGACTTGAACGCGGCCGCGTATGTATGCCTCGCACACTCAACACTCCCTGCGACCTGCGGCCTGCGCGATCTGCATCCAGCCTTCGTCGCTCTGTCTCTGTCGCACTCTTAGGGCACTTGACTAACCGTTTTTCTGAATCACACAGCAACGGGGCAGATAGGGGCAGCAGGGCCGGTCCGTGACCGGATTGCGGATTCGGCAAGCCAACGCCGCCATGCCGCGCAGAGGTCGCGGGCTGTGTCGGCGTCGCGGCGTCGCGGTCGCTGACGGTGGCCTCGTCGAGGCGTGTCCGACATGGCGGCGGCGGACCTGCCGACCGATTCCGAGGAGTTGTTTCGTCGCTCTGTCTCTCTCGCCCCCTGCAGAACGCACCGTGAGTGCGACGGAGTCAGAGCGCCGGAACGATTCCTCGGATGCAGTCTGCTGCTCCGTTGTGTGGGACTGCGAGTGCCGAACTGCAATCGACCTTGGACCTGACAGGACAGACTGGCTGCGCCATGGCGGCCACGGCGTCAGCGCAAGGAGGCCGCCAAGACCCCCGACAAGACCGCCCGAGACTTGGCAGTCGATTTGTTTCATTTTCCAAGCGCGGTAGGTTCAACTTTCCAGGATCAGGGCAGGGGCTTTCTTTGCCACAACGAGGTTACAGTGCACCCCTTTCTAACGTCACTCCCGCCCCTAGAGAAAGGCTCCCGCCAGAGCAGCGCCTCCGGCCGGTGGAGTGACACGCCCCACAACCCCATGACGGTGCGCGCCGTGGAAAATCAAAACCACCTTGGCGTACTGGAGTTCTGACGAGCACTAGCTGGCGACCACCTGCTCCGCGCTCCGCACATGTCACCATGTCACCGCGGGGGTGGCGGGCCGACCGGGCGGGCCGTCTGCCTGGATGCCGGTGCACGAGGTGCGCGAAGCACAAAGACCGTGACTCCGCCGGCCGCAGAACGACACAGCCGGATCGGCGCGGAGGCCATCAGCCCCGCAGATTCATTCCTAAGAGGCGCCGGCGTCGCCCTGTCTCTCTCGCACTCACAGGAGGCTACGCAGGGACGTGGGAGAGACGGCGACGAAGGCGCTGTACGGAATCAGGGCGCAGATCATCGACGAGGCGCTCCGGCCCAAGCCTAGGGCCCAAGCCTAGGGCCCAAGCCTAGGGCCCAAGCCTAGGGCCCAAGCCTAGGGCCCAAGCCTAGGGCCCAAGCCTAGGGCCCAAGCCTAGGGCCCAAGCCGTCGCCGCCGTCTCCGTGCGCTGCGCCGCCCGGCCTTCAAGGCCTTGAGCTTGACACGGCACGCACCGTGCTTCCTCGAAAACACGCAGGCCCGCTACTTGTTCGCTGTCTCTCTCGCACTCGTCGGGCCTTCCGTCAGGTGCGAGGGCGAGGGAGACGGCGAGGAAAGCATTGTTCGGAAAGAGAGCGTCCATTGATACCGGCTGGCGACACAGGCCCACGGGCCGCGCGGGCCGTCCTTGCGTCCTTGCGCAGGCCCGGTGCGGTGCGGGGCACGGTCCGGCGGCGAGTCGGCGAGCGAGGCGGAACAGAACTGTCACTTTCGCGGTGCGCTGTGCTGTGCTGTAGTAGTACGCTACGCCGCGGCCGGGCCGGCGGTTGCTTGCCCTCTAGCAGACCGAAGCAGGCCGAAGCAGGCCGTAAACGTGGCGAAAGGCAGGCGGCGCTACGCGAGGCTTCGCGTCGCGGTCTTTGAACCGCGAATCGCGCCCCCCGCTCACGCCGCGCACTACGCCGTGCACTACGCCGTGCACTACGACGCCGACGCCCCCCATGACGACGTCTTCGGCCAGCCGGGCCAACGCGCAGCACAGTAAAGCAGTAAGACAAGGCAAAACGAAAAAAAATAAGGCTACTTCGTGCCTAATAATAGAAAACGTATCTTTTGTAGACGCAAGTAGCTGTGTTGTGTCATGCACAGTTTTCAGAAAACTAAAAATGCCTTGGTAAACAATCGGGACGCCATGGGAGGTGGCGATTCTGGAGATATGAAAATTGATTCACGCTTTCGGGGGGAAGCTTCAGCTGTCCCGGCCGCAGTCGCGCGTCCCGTCTCTGTTATTTAGGACGATTGTTTATCAACTGCACCAACTAACGCGGTGCCCGCCGTGAGTGCGATAAATGATCTCAAGCCGCAGATAAATTCTCGGCTCAAAAGCAAGCGGCTTCGACGTGTGAGGATGCCAGCTAGCGCATTAGTTGTCACAGCATGACCTTTTTCTCCGTGTGCTAGTGCTAACTCAGTGCTCAGGTGCTCAGCTTGCCGCCACCCCCATAAACCAGTAAAGGCAGCAATAAATCCGTCCTCGCACGCGGCGTGTATTCACAGCGTGAGGTGGTAACTTGGAAGTAAAGGGCGTGAAGGGCGTGAAGGCCTCCTTACTTTGTCCTGGATGGCAGCCGCTGGCTATACAGGCCTGTCGGCCTGTCGCGCTGCCGGCGTGGCGGTGCGCTGCCACTCTGACACTTGTTGCTGCACTGTTGCACCTGATGCACCACTGTCTTGACGGGGCGCTAGCCGCGCTTACGCCCTACGTGTGCTCGGCCCGCTCCGTCCTGGGGCTGGGGCTGAGGTGGCCGGCGGGGCTGCGAGCCGCGACAAGCCGACTCGGACTCTGCTCCCTGCGCGGCTCGGCTCGGCCCGGCTCGGCTCGGCCCGGCAAGCTGGCTGGTGGGCCGTACTACGAGGCCTGGCTGCGCGGCTGCGCTGGCTGGCCGGCCTGCCACTGGTGGCGGTGGCGGCCCGGGGCTTGGGGCCTGGGCTGGCTGCTGGTGCTGCTGGCTGCCTGCTGCTGGGCTGCCAGGACCTGTGTGCGCTTGAGCCCCTTGTCCCTTGTGTCGTGTGGGCCGCGCTCGCTGCTGCAGACGGCCCAGGGCGGCCACAGCGTCTTGTAAGCACACTCACTTCACTCACTGGCACCGGGGCCGGGTGCCCTGGTGGCCCCCGGGCGGGGCGCGACGCGGCTTTCTCGACGTTCACCTCGGGAACGGCTGGCCGTGGCTGGGCCTCACTGCACTTGGCGCGATGGCCCGCGTAGTCCTCAAGGCACGGTGCGCGGTGGCGCGGTACGTCGGCAAGCTCACGGAGCACGGCGTCAGCACAAGCAAGCACGGCGTGTGTGCCAGCCAGACAGCCAGACCAGGCGCGGCCGGTGCTGGTGGGTGACTGAGGAGAGGAGAGGAGAGGGAGAGGGCCCGCCGGCCCGGGGCATGGCCGCTGCGAGGCGGGGTCGGCGGGGCGACGGGGGGCACCACGGCGGCGGTCTACGGCGGGCACGCTACGGGGCGCGGGGCTCGCGGGGCGGAGGGCGGGGGAGCGGGACTCGACTCGACACGGCACGGGGACGGGTAGCGGGCGGGCTGTCTGTCGACACTGTGCCCCCTATCTTCGGCTCGGGCTCGGCGCGTTCGGCTTCGGCGCGTTCGGCTCGGCCCGATTCCGACCGCCGAAGTGCTCCGCGGCTCCGCGGCCATGAGGCAGGCCTTTGGCTTCTCCTCTCTTCTCTTCTCGCTCTCGCTCATCACCATGGCCGCTGGCCCGGCCGGCTGCAGGAGAGCTGAGCCGTGGCTGAGCCTCTGGGGCCCAATGACAATGACACCGCCTCGCACGCAGCCGATCACCCGATGCCTTGCCGTGCCGTGGCGTGGCGAGGCGCTTTGTTTTTCCGCCTCGGCCGCTCCGCACTGTGCTTGTGGAGTCGTTGGGCTGGGCTCGGTTTGGCTGGCGCACCGCGAGCCGCGGACCGCGCACCGGGAAAGGGAAAGGGAGCCACGCCGCCTCGCCTCGCGCCTCGCCTCGAAGCCGGGCCGCCGGGCCGCGGATAGGGGCCGAACTCGGCCGAACCGAGCCGCGCTAATCCTTATCGCCTCGCTCCAGCTGCGAATCGGGTTGCTTCGCACTTCGCTTTGCGCTCGGCGTGCAGGGCTCCCTGTCCTGTCACTGGGCAGCGGGGACGCGGCGCAGCCTCCGTTCGACGAAAGGACCCGGCCATACAGAGGTGACTTTAAGTCCCATGTGAGCCGGAGTGCCTCTCTCTCGTCCCAGCCAGGAGCCAACCGCTCTGTCTCTCTCGCACTCCTACGGAAGGCCCCGTGCACGCATGCGTGCGCGGCAGCGACGAAGACGGCGACGCGGTGCACCTCGGCGGCCTCGGCGGCCTTCTCCGGGCGATGAGGAAGGGGGAGGGGGACCACCCACACTGTGGCCGCTTGAATGGGCGGACACTCCGTTTAACGGCCCAAAATAGAGCCGAGGCTGGCAGGCTGGCCGGGGCTCCAAGACGGGACACGGCCGCCACGGCCGCCACGGGAGGGACGGCTCCGACGGCCACCACGACCGCCACGACCGCGATCAAGTGGACGAGGATAGCGGTGGGCGGCTAGTCTGCCCACGGCCTGCCCCAGGCCTGCCCCGGGCTGCCCGGGCCTGGCCGCACTGCCGCGATATCCTATCGCCGGCCGCGCCTCGAGAAGGGGCAGTGAGGATGCATGACCCCGCGGAGGGGGGGGGGGAAGCTGCCATGGCTTCGTCCTAGAGCACACCGTCGTCCGCCGTGCTCTGACCCCCGAGCCCCGCGCGCGCTCACACACACAAACATACACGTGGCGGCCACGCCGTTTTCACAGACGAAAGGCAAAGTCGTAACTGCTTTATCAAATGCCTGGAATGCCAGACGCTCGTAAAACCAGCTACTGTCAAGTCGCCTCGCGCGGGTCGCCGCCGCCACCGCGGCAGACGACGACGACGGCGGTGACAAATGTCGTCGCGTCGTCTGCTAACCGTCACCCTGGGATTTATGTATTGTACCAAGTGTAACACGGCAGGAAAGAAAAATGTTAGCGCACCGCCTGATAACCACACCTGCATCTCGGTATAGTAGTCCGCCTCACACATACTTACACTCAAACACACACACAGACGCGCGCCCAGCTCCGACGCTATTTGACTCTACATTAAGCCCTCCTTCCCCCAGTCTTAACACTCTCACACACGCGAGTACACACACACACACGCATACGAGCCCCACAGACGCCGAGGAAGTGTATATTTTCACAGCCTACTTCACTTGACGCCCGGGCGGCCTGGCGGCCTGGCGGGCTGCGCCGTGTAGGTGTTGGTGGTGGCGTTTCCTCTGCAAGCATCGCGCGAACCGACAACAGCCACCGCACTAGTTGCCTTGCCTACTTACAGGGGCAAAGTGCGACTTTTGCCTATCTTTTAAGGGGTGAGGCCCCTCCCCTGGATCCGCAGCTCGGCACCATGGGCCTATGGCGCGCGTTCTAGAAATTGCTTCACGGATAGTTACACCTGGCTCCAGCACGCAGGGTGCAGGGCGGGTCGCCAAACTGCGATACGAGAGTTGTTTTCGACGCTCTGTCTGTCTCGCACCTTTACGGGACGCCCCGTGAGTGCGAGGGAAACGACTCTCGGAATCAGTGTGCAGGCCGACTGCGGCGTGAGGTTAGACTTACTCGACGGACTCGGCGAGAGGTTCGCGGCGTTCGCGGTTCAGACGCAAGGGGCCGTGCCGCAGGTATTCGCGGTGCTGATTGGTGTCGCTGGCTGTTGTGCTGTTGTTTGTGGGGACCGCCGCGCCGCGCCGCCTCGGGCCGCCTCTGGCCGCCTCGGGCTTCAGGTAGGTGCACACTGTATCTTATCACCATGCACAGCCACAGCGCCGCTAAATATGGACGGCGAGGCGGGCGCGGCGGGCGAGCCCCGCAGAGCACACAGGCCAACGGCGCGACGCGGCGACGCGGCCTGGGTAACAAACATTCTCGCCCTGGTTTGAGTCTTGCCGGGATGGGGTTTGGGCCTGGGCCCCCGCTCTTCCTTGGGAATGATCATGACAAAACGACGGCCTATAAAAGGGTATATCGCCAAATTCGGACAGTATAATTTTGTGATGTGGTCAGCACTCTTTCAATCTCGTCGCCGCTGTGGATGCGGGGCGTGGTGATGCTCAGTTTTCACCACTGTCTGGACGAAATAAAACACGAGGGTAGTTCTCGCAGGGGAATGTAATTACAGGCTTCGACACATATTCATATGACAGTAATACAATCACCTCACGTACTACATTCTAAGGCATGACTAGGAAAATAGCATATAGAACTGCGATGGAATTGTACAACAAGTTATGCTGAGAAGCACAGAGAGATCAATCGATTTCTTACACGATACAAAAATACTGCAAGTATTGTCAGTACAGAAAATGAACGTCATTGAGGGCAGTGAACGCTGTTTCGAATTCTACAATCAATTTAAATCCTTTTCATTGACATTTTAGTGAATCGGTTTTCAGAGAGAGGGGTAATTGAGTCTCGCTTCGAAAAGTACTAATCTAAATGAGCCCCCGCGGGGTGATTCCAGAGTCACGAGAGCGAACGTGGCCGTGGAAATCCGCATTACGACTCGACAATCTCCGGGTAAGATTTCTATCGCTTTCCACTAGAGTAACGCACAACAACGAGACGTCATGCGTATTGCGTACAAAAATTGAGGTTCATACAAAATTCACACTATTTTTCTCGCGCCACTCAAGGCCGCTCTAAGTCTGAGCGGAGATGGCGGTCAGACGGCCGTCTCCGGCTCCTCGGCCAGCCGCCAGGCCGCCAGGTGCTGCCCCACCGGGGGCCCCAGGAGGGGCTGCCGCGCGGGGTCCAGCGGCGACCCCAAGGGTGACCCCAGCCCTGCCGCGGCCGTGCCCCTAGGGTGTTGGCACTGCTGGCGGTGGAAGCAGCGGTGCTCCGCGCCCGGCGACGCCCCCGGAGACGCTCCCGGTGAGGTGCCCGGCGAAGTGGGGGCCGAACTTGCCACCCCAAGCAGCGACCTGGCGCCGCCCCCCCTGGGAGAGCCGCCCTCGCGACCGCCGCCCCCGCCGCCCCCGCCGCCCCGCCGGCGCCGCCGGCGCCGCCGCAAGACACGCTGGGCGGTGGGAAGAGCGAGGGCACGGAGCGAGAGGCCACTACGGCGGCGGAGAGCAGCGCCGGAACGCGCACGCGACTCTGGAGGCAGACACAAAACGACTCTGTGAATCAGTCTGCTGGACCTGGAGGCTGGTTTCCACCGCACTGCTCGAAGTCCAGCCCAGTCCACGCCTGCCTTACCTGGAATAGTTCGTGCCGCTGCGCGCTGAGCTGCTGCTGGGGCGTCGGCGGGCAGAGGAGGGGCGCCGGCAGCTGCAGGTGGTCGATGGCGGGGCACGACGCGCTCAGGTGGCTGGGGTCCACGATGACGCTCAGCATGCCGCCGTCGCCGCCCTCGGCGCCACCCGGCGACCCGGCGCCCACGAAGACCCGGCCGGGGGAACCCTGCCAAGAGGGGAGCAGATCGTTTGAACCGAGTGCGTCAGTCGCAGCGTCGCAGCGTCGCAGCCATAGGTCACGCCGATTCACCCACCGCGTTGTCCGCGATCGAGTCTAGCTGGTGGAACTGGTGCAGCGTGCCGGAAGAGGCGAAGCGGAGCCTCTTGGGCGACTCGAGGCTGGAGCAGCGTGTGAGCCCCGCGCCCAGGGGGTGGTGCAGCGGCAGCCCGGCCAGCCCGGCCAGCCCCACCCCCAGCGGCAGTGGCGGCGGGCACACGCCGCAGTGGCCGGCCACCACGGGGACCTTCTTGAGGGAGCTGCGCGGCGCCGCCACCCCCGCCACGCTGCACGGGCTGGCCGCGGGCCGCGGCCCGGACGCCGAGCAGCCAGCGTGTTCGCCCAGCAAGGCCGCCTTCCTGCCCTGGCGCGCCGCCCTGCGCTCCTCCGACTCCCCCAGCAGCCAGTACGTGCGCACGTCACCCTTGCCCTTGATGCGCACCAGGCCGCGGTCGGCCAGCTCGTAGCCGCCGATGCGCTGCAGCAGCGCCGCGCACTCGGCCGAGCAGTGGATCCGCAGCGCTGGAACGGAACGGAAAGAAAAGGCATTGTCAAGTCCCCTCCTCAGCGCGCCTGACAGCCCGGGGTGCGCAGCCCGTTGGACTGGCATGCGCGGGGCGGCAGCCGGTTGCCTACTTGCAGGGCGCTCTCCACTCGCCACGCAGCGCAGCGCAGTGCCCGCGCGGCCGCGGCCGACGGGTCAACCACATTCACTTACGCAGCCCGTTGGACTCCATGCGCGAGGCGGTGTTGACCGTGTCGCCAAAGAGGCAGTACCGGGGCATCTTGAGGCCCACCACGCCGGCACACACCGGCCCTGGAACGCATCAGAAGTTTAATCACTTTTCGACCAGCTTTGCGAGACTACCACTCCTCGTTTGAAGTTTGAAGCACGCGACATGTCGTCCTGCCCCTCACCCGAGTGGATTCCAATGCGAAGCTGCAGCGCGTCGCCGGGCCGGTGGCGGATACGGAACGTCTTGACGGCCTCCAGGAGCTGCAGCGACATGGACGCCACCTCGGCGGCGTGGGCGTCGCCGTTGCGCACCGGCAGGCCGGATACCTGCGGGCCAAGGTTCAAATCCTATCACTGTCGGAAGATTTTTCGTTTTACCTGATTTGGATGGTCGTTTTGCTGACTTTGGGGGGCCACTGCTACCTATCTTGTAGCCCCGCCTTTGACCGCTACGATTTTCAGACCAGTAACCTCACAAAGTTGGTCAAAAAGTGATTGAATCTCCTAAAGTAGTCGTTTTGCTGACTTTGGGCGAGCTGGTTACGCCTTGGCTCTTGGAGTCAGTCTGCTGGTACTGCAGCTCCGGACTCGTGGACTCACCACCATGTAGGCGTCGCCGATGGTCTCCACCTTGTAGACGTCGAAGTGGCCGATGGTGGAGTCGAAGCAGGTGTACAGGTCGTTGAGGAAGTCCACCACCTGCAGCGGCGTGCTCTGCGCCGACATGGCCGTGAAACCCACGATGTCGCTGAAGTAAATGGTGACGCTGTCGAAGCTCTCGGCCTGAACCTTCTGGCCGCGCTTCAGCTGGTCGGCCACGCAGCGCGGCAGCATCTCGTACAGCAGGGCCTCTGCGAACACAAGGCGAAGGGGAGCACTGCGACGCTACCCCGCGCAGCAGGGCCCGCGGCGCGCGGGGCAGGGAGTATCTGCGGCTCTGCGTCGCCAATATGCCGCGTCCCGACGCCCCCGCCACCCCACCACCCCGCCACCCTAAAAGACCGGCTGGCGCCGCGCCAGACGCCAGGGCCGCCAGGGCTCCACCGGCACGACGAGCTGCAAAAAGGCGTCTGGGCATCGAGACATCGAGACGCGCAGAGCGATGTCTCTACCTCGCAGCGCGGTGGGGGGGTGAATGGGTGAATGGGGATGGAAAAGGGTGGGGGGCGGGGCGTTCTTCACCCCCGGGACCGGCTAATCCGGCGGGAGTTGAGCTGGCCTTTGTCTGGAGTCGTAACTTGCTCGATGGGGTCACCAGCCAGCAGGCCAGCCAACCCAAACATATTTATTGACGGTTTCCGGTCAGTGATCTGACCGCCGTGGCTGCCGTGGCTAGACGTACTGGGGGCTCAGAGACAACGGGGAGCATGGCTGGCTTACCCGTCTTCCTTTTCTCCTGCTGCAGCTGGTCTGTGCGCTCGTCCACCAGGACCTCCAGGTTGTTGGCGTACTTCTCCATCATGGCTATCATGTTGTCGAAAATGTTTGGCTTCCTGCGAGAGATAACAATAACAGCGTCGTTTGAGGCAAGGAGGGTGCAGGAGTGGGTGGCGTGGCGGCGGCGGGCCGCTGCAAGAGAGGCGCTCTCTCGTGCCGCCGTCACGCTCCCCGCCCACAACAACCCCCTCGAGATGGAGGCGCCCCTCTCGGCCCCTCTCCACACATCGCGGAAGCGCGGCAGGACCAGTTATCAGCTCAAGTCCGCGCGCCATAACACTCACTCACTCACATCGCACGTACCATTTGCCGCGTTTGTCTGCCGGCCCTGCCGCGGAGGCGGACTTGCGGCCTGGATTCGGATTCAGATTCGCATTCGCTTGCCGTTCCGCTTTACTCGTTCATACTCACATGCCCTTCCGCAGGGGCCGCAGCCGCGCGCGCACCGCCTTGAGGTCGGGCCGCAGCTCCGGGTCCTCGGCCCAGCACTCCTGCAGGCACTCCCGCACGAAGTCGAAGCTGTTCTCCAGGCTGTCCAGGGGCGGCCTGAGCGGGAAACAAACGACGACAACTTTAGTCTTGTTCTGCAGTGTTTGGCAGCTCGGCGCGGCCGGGCGCGGCAGGATGGTGACTGCACCTGTACGGCGGCTGGCCGGGCTCTGGGTGCAGCACGCGGCGCAGGACCTCATCGACGGCCAGGGCGCAGTCGCCGTACGGCCCGTGGCGGCCCTGGATCTCGTACAGCACCACGCCGAACGCGAAGACGTCGCCCTTCTGCGAGCCGCGGGGGTCCACGCCGGCGCCCCCGGCACCGCCGCGGCCGCGGCCGCCGCCCATCACGTCCTTGGCGGCCACGCTTAGCAGGCCCATCTTCTGCGTCGTCGGTGACCCCGGCGGCGCCCACATGGCGGCCAGGGCGGCGCGGAGTAGCTCCGGGGCGCGGTACAGCAGCCCTGGACAACGACTTGGGTTCAGGTTCTGATTGAGGCCGGAGTACGTAGTGCCGGGGCGAGGCACAGGAGTGGATTCGAATCGAGCGCCGCCAGCGCCACCGCTTTTGAACCTACCGTCGCACTTGCACGGCGTGTCCTGGTCGTGGTTGTTGTTGGCGCGGTGCAGGTGGTGCAACTGCAGCTGCTGCAGCAGCGTGGCGCCACCCGCGTCGTCCGCGCCGCGCTTCAGCTCGTGCAGGCCGAAGTCGGCCACCTTGACGACCCAGCGCGAGTCCACCAGGCAGTTGGACGACTTGAGGTTGCCGTGGAAGCGCAGCGGGGAGTCGTGCAGGAATATCATCCCCTGGAACACACACACCTCACAACAAACTGAGTGAACTATCTACAAATTCCAGATGTTTTGGTGTTGCGTGTCGTACCCGCAAGATGTCTCCTACGAGAGAGGCGATGAACATGTTGTCCAGCTTGACGTCCTCGTTCTCCAGGATGTCCTGCAACCCACCGCAATGCGTGCATGAGGGAACCGAGAGACGGTGTCGAGCTCCCCGCCAAGGGCATGTTCGGCGTCGTTACCTTGAGGCTGCCGCGGGTGCAGTACTCCGTCACGATGCACACGTTGGGCGGGTCCACACACGCGCCTATGAACGCGTTCAGGTTGTCGTGTCGGAGGTCTCGCATCTGGAGGCAGAGTTTCTATCAACGTGAACCAGGCCTTCACATCAGCAGTATTTTATTCAGATCAACTCACCAGCTTGAGCTCCTTCTTGACGGCGCGCGTAATGTCGATGGAGGTCTTGCCCAGCTTCTTGACGGCCAGCACCCTGCCCCGGTACACTCCCACCGTGGTGTAGATGCACGAGTAGCGGAAGTCGGCGTCCGGGTTAGAGCTCAGCGACACCTGCGACGTGCGGAGCGGCGGCTGCGGCGAGTGGTTCTGTGACCAGAGGTTCAAAGGTTGAAATCGGACTGCAGGAAACCACTTTACCCGAGAGGCTAGGGAGTCACCCGACGGCAAGTAGACGTTAAGTTCAAAGCACCTGGTGTCCGTCGGGGGCGTCGGCCTGCTTGTCCTTGACGCGCTCCGCCTGCCCGTTGAGCTGCACGTGCCCGTTGGCCACGCCGTTGGCCGCGCCATTGGCGCCCGGCGTCGAGGCGTCGGCCATCTTGATCTCGCGGAAGTCCACCTTCCACAGCAGCGAGTCCAGCTCCTGCTCGTAGCGCCAGTTGCGGTACACCACCAGCCCCGCGATGAGCGTCAGCAGCAGCAGGCTGCCGGCCACGCCGCCCGCGATCTCGCCGGTGTGCCCTGCGACAGACGTGAGGCGTGGGACGCGGGTTCGAGTACCGGCGGGGGCGCCTCTTTTTTTCTCCGCCCCGTGCCGTCCGTGCCATCCGGGCCATGAGGCGGCAGCTGTGGCGAGCACCAGGCGCGGCCGGCCAGGGCGGCCAGGGCGGCCAGGGCGGCTAGGGTGGGCAAGCCCGGACGCTGGCCGGGGTGGACTGGCATACCAATGAGTGGCCGGCCCGGCCCGCCCTGGCCGCACCTTCAGCACGCGCAAAAATCAGAGTGGCCACCGAAAAACAGAGCTTGGTGGCGATCGCCATGGTCGTCAGGAATAGGACATGGTTTGCGGTAAGAAAGGGTCGAAGCCACCCTCCAAAGCAAACAGAAGCGAAAGCAGCGAAAGGTTTGGCAACACTCACGGATGCAGCGCTCCCCTCGGAAACCGCACACGGGCTCGGCGACGGGGGGCTGTCCGGCCGGCCACCACAGCTCCTCCTGCAGCCGCACCGTCTGCAGAAACGAACCAACAGCGTGAAGCACGCCAACAAGGCCTCAGTGCTTCGTCGCTCTGTCTCCCTCGGACACACAGGGGAAGACCCCGAGAGTGCGAGAGAGACAGAGCGACTGGTTGGAATCAGGCTGCATCACCAGGGTCACGGTCAGGGATGAGGGGTGAGGGGTTGTAGTAGGGGTATGCCCGGCCGCCTCCGCACGTCCCTCAGGCATTGTTTAGTTTATTGGTCGGAGAGCAGGATCACCGGCACCCCTCCCCTCCCCAGCCCCGTCCGAGTCGGTCCGAGTCTCCCTGCGATGCGCCACTGGAAGCAGCAGACTGATTACGAGAGTCGATTCCGTCGCTCTGCCTCTCTCGCACATAACAGGACGCCCCACGAGTGCGAGGGAGACGGAGCGACGAAAGCCCTGTGCGGAACCAGCGTGGCATAGCTTGCCAAAATGTATCTCTGGCGGAGCAGGCGCGGCGCGGATCGGGCGGGATTTCTTTAAGGAAAAGGATGTGGCAATTGTGCCATCAATTGGATTGGAGTCCGTCCCGCGACAGCTCGACATCCCCTCCGCGCCGCGCGGGCCGCGGTTCCCCACAGCGGCCCATCCGCCCCCGCGGGCAAGCCGGAGCGAGAGGGAGAGAGGGATGAAATCTTTCAATGTGGTGTCAAGCGCGCCGAGTGGCCCAGCTCTCCCGGAGGCTCACCGCGTCGCCGCGTCAGCACTCCGCGCACGCCGTGAGGGGACCGCCTCGCGTCCCTCGCGTCGCACCGTCTCTCTCGCACCCCGTACGGGCCGGCGCGAGCGGGCGGGAGGCCCCATGAGTGCGAGAGAGATAGAGCGACAGAGCGAGCCCGGCCGGCGGGCGGGCCGCCGCATTCCACGCAGGGATGAGGGGATACAGAGCTGTCGTAAAGCCCGGCAGGGGGGGGGGGGCTGCTTTCCTCCTCCAACCCTCCGATCGAACATGATGAAGGTTGTTGTCGCAACCTTCTTTCTCGGTGCTCGAAAAAAAAAAGAGGAACCGCCACCGCCCCCACACACACACTAACACCCACGCGCACGCACACACACACAAACTGGCCAACCGACAGGGAAAGGCGGAGTGTCTCCCTACTTTCGTGCAAATGAAAAATTTGCAAGACGCTCGTGGGTGTGACATTTGGACGCTTCTCACGGTCTCGTTCGGTCTGAGCGGTCGGGGCGGATCGAGAGGGGGGGGGGAGGGGGAGGAGGTTGGAGGCGTTGATGAGACTCGACCGACGTGATCGGAATCACGGGCCTGTCGTGCGCTGTTAAGGCCGACAGGTGCGGCACGGTCATCACACCGGAAAAAATAAAAATCCACTTTTTTGGTTCAGAGGATTGACAGTTTTGCTAGTCTGCAGCGAGGGGCTGAGTACAGTGTTACGGCGTATGTGGTGTTGGACTGTTGGATCCAGTGAGATGGGGATAGGGGAGGGGGAGCGCGATGCCTCCAGTCGGACGATAAGTCAAAGTGTCTCCGGGCAGTGCGGGGCGGGGCGGGGCGGGGCGGGGCGGGGCGGGGCGCTGCAGCAGGACAACAGCACATGTAAATCATGCCGCCCTCGCGAGCTGCGTGGAGGAGAAGAATGCATTTGCCGAAGAAAATGGAAAAGATGAAAACAAAAATGCGAAAATGTGATAAGGGTGAACGGGCGCGCTGGGGGAAATCGTGAAGTAGAACAGGGGCAGAGAGGAAAGAGGAACGAGGAGCCCCCGAAATTGAAAGAGCTACTCGTCCAGAGAGAGCTTTCGGGAAAGCGAGAGGAGAGGAAGCGCGCTGCCCCGCCGCGCCCGCTCCGCGCGACAAGACAAATGCGCCTGTGTGTTGGCGACACCTGTCCACCCTGCTCAACGCCATCGAGACACTTGTTTTTCACACTTGGCGTTTCGCGTTCGCTTCGCTGGCGGCGTGCTGCGCGTGCTGCGGGTGCTGCGTCCTCACCGGGAAGGCGGCGTCGCCCAGGTACTGGAAGCCCCCCACGGGGAACAGGCCGAACGCCCCCGTCAGGGTGGGGTGGGGCCGGCGCGCCAGCAGCGTGTAGTTGCCCTCGGCGTCGGCGTTGGTGTCCATGTGCACCAGGTACCTGCGGGGCAGGGCGGCCAAAGTCAGTGCCGGGAGCCCGCGCACGGCTCGGCGCCGACCCTCCGACGGCAAGCCGACAACGTGCTCGACGACGACAGGCGCGGATCCAGAGGGGGCAAAAGGACAATAGCCGTGCGAAAGCCGCCAAAACCGCAACAAGTTTGCCCCCAGCCGGATGTAGTATGAAAAAGTGCTTCTTTCCCTCCCCTAAGGACCGGGCTGGACCCCACGAGGGGCGGCGGCGCCGACCCCCCACGGCGCCGAACGTACTGCACGCCGCGGCCAAGCCTAGCCGACGAAGGCGGAAGCCCGTTTTCCCCGGGTGCGGTTTGGGCTCTCCCCTCTAAGGCCAGGGGCGGCGGCGGCGGAGGTCCCAGGGCGTCGTACCCCCGGGCAGCCGGCCTCGGGCCGGGACGGTGCGGGGGGCCTTGGCCAGCCTGGGGGGTTTCCGCTGGGCCCCCGCCGCACCCAGCGCGCCGCTGCCCGCGCGCCGCAAGGCCCGGGGGCGGCGGCGCCGTCGCGGAGCCCAGGGCCGACACCCGCGCCTGGAACTTCTTGTAGTGCTCGGGCGGCGCGGAGGGCCGCACGCCCAGGAAGTGGCGGAACGCGCGGTCCGCGGCGGCGTCCGGGGCGTCGCGCAGCAGGCCGCGCAGGTAGCGCTCCGCGTGGTCCGACGAGTACTCCTCCGCGTCCACGCCGACCACCCAGTACTCGCCTGCAAAGGGAAAAGGCACTTTACAGACTGTCAAAAAAGTTGGGTCGGATTGGTTAAAATCTGGTTTATTTCCTTTGAAAATATCTTGTTTTAGAATGAACGTTTTGAGAGTGGAAAACAAAGGTTGCTCAGAGATGTGAAGTCCTCAGTGCGCATTGGAACGAGGAATTCCATTTGTTTACACGATTGTTCTTCATTGTGACAGCCGGAGCGGGGGCGCGAACCCAGAACTCGCAGCTCGTAAGACATGCACTCAACCGACTGCGCCACCGACCATGTTGAAGCACTAAGATGCCGGCCTTACCATTGTCAAACAGGTGGAGGGACTCCATGGCCGCGAGGAAGCCGATGTGGTCATCTTGCCCCCCAAGGATGATGTAGACTAGAACACCAGGACGGAAGAAGACAACTTTGTGAATATAGCCCATCGAGCGGACGGGGAAAAGACGACGACGGGCCGAGAGGGTCGGGAACACAATGCGGTGGCTGCGCGCCGGATTAGAATTAGAATTGCGGGAAAGTGGAGGGAGAGGAACCGCGGGAAAAAGGGGGGGGGCGCGACTTCTACCCAAAGCGGTTTACCTTCCATTCAAAAATCCAATTTGTCCCTGAGTGAGCTCTCTGCACTCATGAACGTTATCCCGCACCGGAAGTGATCAGGCCGGAAGTAAAAGGGGGAGGGGGCGACCTTCCCCGCCGCTACCCTGCGTTAATCGAAAACCGGGAGAGAAATTGTCTCCGTGGCCCTTGGACCTTGTGGCGGCCGCCGTGATGCCGTGACGCCGTGACGCCCCCGAGGCCGCGGCGGGGGCGGGGATGGGACGCGCGAGAGAGACAGAAAACACGATATCGGAACGCGGCGGAGTGTCTCCGTGTCTCCGCTCGGCGGGGAGCTCTGGAATGGGGATCTGGGACGCAAGCAATTAACTTCTGACCCCCCGCAGCCCCGGCTTGGCTTTCGCCACCTCACGCCGCCACGCCCCTCCACGCCACGCCCCTCCACGCCACGCCACGCCTCGGCTTGGCAATTTCGGGCCGGGCCTTATTTCCTTGCCATCAGTAAACAGCTCTTCTTCACCTCCCCTTCTATCTAAGGACCGCCGTTTTTCGCGTCGCCGTCGTCGAGAGAGGCTTTGGCTCTCCTCTGCGGCAACTCGCTCCGTCCCGTCCACCAGGTGAGGGTGAGGGTGGCTCCCTTCCTCTCCGTTGAGCGGCAGCGCGGCAGGTGTCAGCTCAAAGTCGCGTCCCCCCGCCGGCAGATCCACCATACGCCCCACTCCGCCTGAGAGGGCGCAAGGTCGCCCGGGTCACGTGACCAGCCCTCCGCGCGAAAAAAAATATGAAGAAATAGGTGGGGTGAAGCGTCATTATGTCGTAAAATGGCGGCGACCCGGGCGGCCCTGCGTTTCGTACCTCGTAGACCTCGTACAGCGCCACACCTCGAATAAGCCGAGCAGCGCGGCCGGGCGCGTGGGCGTGGGCGGAGGTGTGACCCCACTTTACAGTATACGCCCGGCGACGCCCGGCGACGCCCGGCGAGAAATATAAGTTGGGGAATTTCGGATTGGCGCGGTGAAAAAGAAGACCTTGTTCCCACTGAGTTAGACCGAGGTGAAATTGCACTTCCCTTTCCGCCTCCGATAGGCTAGGCACTACGCACATTTGCCGCGGGACCCAACTTTTACCTCCAGCGGTGTGCCGGAGAAAAGGAGGGGGGGGGGTACAGTACATCCATCCTGCGCGGGGCCCGGCGGGGCGGGGCGGTGGGGGCTCGGAACGTTCATGAACGGAAAGTTTGGTTCCCCATTGCATCTTGTTTTTCTGGGCACGCCGCGCGGCGCGCCATCCCGGCGCGCTGCCGCCACGCCACGCCACGCCCCAGGACCCAGGTTAGCGTTATCCGACTGCGGGGGCGGCATGCCGCGGCGCCGCGGAGCAGTATCGCGATGGAGATAAATCGTGCCGGCGAGCAATTACGGTGTAGTGGAAGGTGTAGGGGTGGCGGGGGCTCACTTCGCGTGTCGCGGTGCGTGTCGCGCACGATGTCCAGGAACGGGTTCTCCGAGTAGCCGTGGTGGTAGGCGTCCTGCCACGCCGACCGCGCCGCCACGTGCACGCCGGCCGCGGCCAGCGCGCGCAGAATGGCCTCGGCCACGTGGTCGGTCACGTGGTCCGCCTGCGACACGAACGACACCTGCAACACGGAGCAAAAGCTGGAATGTCTCCACTGTAAAAGTATCCATCTTCCCCTTTCTCCATTATACTAAAGAAATGGGCACACAGGACGAAGGGCTCACGTGGGTCCAGTTGAACTCCCTGCACACGGCCGCCACGGACTTGGAGATCTGCGTGTCGGCCGGCCTGGTGCGGGCGAACGTCGGGTACTCCTTCTTGTCGGACGTCTCGTAGTTGGTGCAGTACTGCAAGCAGCGCGAAGCAGGGCGCGGACGTTACGGTGCTGGCCCCATTCAAGGCGGAGCCTCGATGCTCTGTCTCTCTCGCGGCGCCACGCGAGTGCGACAGAGACAGGGCGCGGGTCGGCGGAGGGCAAATCGGCGGGGAGTGCCTGGTCCGCCTGGTCCGCCTGGCCGGGGTGCTCCGTCACGGCACTCATCGAGAGGCGCGGCGCTGGCGGCAAGCGGCACCCAGCGGCACCCGCCACCGGACTCGCTGCAAACTTCCCGCCAACTTCATACAAAGGCCACCGCCCGCCATATTTTAGGTGGCCGCGCGACAGACGGAACGGCACGGAGAGGGGCGACGGAGAAAAAAGGTGACGGTGGAAAAAAGTGAGGGGGCGGGGGGACAACGCGGCCGCCAAAATAAATTCCACACATGTCGCTGCCGCGGCAGTAGTCTCTCCCCCGGCGGGGCGGCGCGGCGGCGAGGCGACGGCGTGAGTGAAAAGTCCAACTTCCCGCGCCGCGCCGTCTCGCCGTCCATTGGCGGGCGCAGCGCGGCTCCGGCAAAGCTCCGGCAAAGCTCTCGCGACGCGACTCGGGCGGGATTTATGATTGGGAGCGAAGCGGGCGGGGCGGCCGACGGGGCGATCGCGGCGAACCGGGTCGTAAGAAGTAGCGGTTCGGGCTGTTTTTAAGGGGAGTGCTTTGGCTGTGGCCGGGCCGGGCCGGGCCCCACCGGTACTATCGGTCGCTGCCGCGCCACTGTGATCAGACAAGGCGCCCCGCCCAGCGCGGCCGCGGCCACGCCGAGGGGTCGACAACTACCTCGAGCCGTGTACGAGGTAGTATATATTACCGGTAATATAAGTAATATAGGGTAATATAAGGTAATATACGGAAATAAAACAACGGTAATATATGATAAAAGAAGATGAGAACGTGACACAGTATCCTTGACTAAGGCTAAAATCAAGAGTTCTGGCTAGAATTTTGGTATTATGCAGACCTTACCCTCGTTTCATGACAGCGCCCCCTGTCAGATAAAAGGTATGCAACCCGATGCAACCTATCTGACAAAAGTATGGCGCGTAGCTTCATGTCAGATTGAACACGGACATCAAATCCGAATTTCTTCCTGTCGCAAGGAGAAGCCTAATAGCTTTAACACCTTGATACCAAGGTTCAGTACGGCAAGTTTAACGTTAGTTTAGGTTAGAAACAAGCAAATCACAGAAATATGTGGTAATATAGTGGTAATATAGAGGTAATATACGGTAATATAGGGTAATATACGGTAATATACGGTAATATAAGGTAATATAGAGGTAATATAAGCTCTGCGTACGAGGTAATATGGGAGTTGTCGACCCCTCGGGCCACGCCCACGCCAGTGTCCCCGCAAGAAGGGCCAACGCCGCGGCCCGCGGCTGAAGGTCCAGTTAGGCCCGGCCGGCTATACATTACCGCCATAACTCGCGAGGCCCGGCCGGTGCCGGCCAGTCCCGGCCAGTCCCGGCCGGGCCGAGTAATGCAGACAAAGCGACACAGCGGGAGAGCGAGGGAGCGAGAGAGCGCGACCAGCGTGCTCGGAGTTCACCGGGGTAATCAGGCGGGATTAAAACAAATCTCGGACAGACAAAAAAAAGATGCTTCCGGAAGGTAGTTTACCTGAGTAGTCGGCTTGGCCAATGACGGCGCGAATGCTACGCGAACGACGACGCGTGGCTCGCGGCTCGGCGATGTACTTAGCTGCTGGCTTGCCGGTGCCTTGCCGTTGGCCGGGGTGAAAGATTGCACTTTCTCCCTCACCACTTTATCTTCGCCCCACGCCACCCCTCCCCTCCTCACTAGAGTCATGACACGCTCGGCTGCGGCCCGTCCCCCTCCCCGTCCCCCTCCCCCTCTGCCCGCCGCCGCGCCTACGCGGCAGAGATTTGCCAACGCTTTGCCACTCACTCAGACCCACCACATTCTCATACTCGCGTGGTGTGCATAATGCCTCCCGTCCCCGGCCGCGCGCCTCGTCCGAAAATGGCCTCCTGTCTCTCTCTCTCTTTCTGCGGGGTGCGGTGGCGGCTCTCTCTGCGACAAAGAGAGTCCAGTTTGCCGTCCGACTGGTCCCTAGGGGCGGTGTCGGCTGAGATTAAATCCGCAGCCCAGTGGTAAGGGCCATCAGGCAACAACTCGCGGCGACAGGAAAAGTCAAATTTCAGTTTTATGGCTGGCCCGGAATTTTAGTGTAGAGGCCGCAGCCGCGCCGGGGCAGCCCGGGCGGGCGGGTTAATGGCGAAGGGCACCGGCCGTCGTGTCTGCATGGCCGTGGCCCGCACGCGGCCTTTTATGAGGGTGTCTCTCTCGCACTGGAGCGCGTTCTGTTTCGGTGCGAGAGAGATAGAGTGCGATATGCAGAACCGCGCTGCTGAATCTCGAAAGTAATTCCGTGGGCGGAGGGAGGGAGGCGTCGCGACAGCGCCACCGTCTCGTCTTGGTCGCACCGTCGCAGCGTCGCAGCGCGGAGCATGGCGCCTGCGGACAGCGGGGTAGGCCGCCCGCCACGCACGCGCGCGCAACGGGACTGCCGGCCGCCGTTCGCAGGCGCTCGGCCAGCAGCGCCAGCAGCGCCAGCAGAGAATTAGGGGCGTACTCACGTAGGAGATCATGGGCAGGTTGAAGGCAGCCGCCAGCTTGGCCTCGTGCACACACGTCTCCTGCGGCCCGATGAAGGCGCTCACGTTGCGCGTCCACAGCGCGGCCGTCTCCAGGATGCTGGTCACCTCCTCGCCGTACGTCTCGGACACTAGGAAGTCCAGGCTGTGTCCGCGCGAGCCCAGCAGCCCGTCAGGCGCGACCAGCTGCGGAGGAAGGACAACGTTAAATGCGACATGATTTTACAGTGTTTCAGGGACGACGGTCATGTACTCACCTCGTCCCTGGCGAGGGCGATGGCCCCCGAGATGGCGAGACCCGGCCGGTGGTAGCGGTGGTCGTAGGGCCGGCGGTCCGAGCCGGTGAGGTAGCCGACGAGGAGGTGCTCGCCCACGGCCAGGATGCCGACGTGCACCAGGGCCAGCAGGGCCGACAGGGCCACGGCCCCGGGCCCCGTCATCGCGTCACCCACCCGCCATGGAGCTGCAACAGCGAAGCGGTGCGTCAGCGCGTCGTCGTCGAGGTTCCTCGCAGGGGTCATGAACGTTACGGCGAGCAGGCAGGTTTACACCACGGAGCACCCTTGGGGGCGAGAGCAAACCGCAGCGCTTGGAGTGCGTGGGCGTAGCGTGGGACGCGCAGGGTCATCGGCGAGCCTGGCTCGGCCTGGCCGCCGCGGGGCGCGGCACGGCGGCGGCAGGCCGGGGTGCGGGGTGAAGGGTGGGGCCTCCCTGGTGGCGCTCACCTGCCAAAGGGCACCTGTTGCGCGGGGCGCCGTCGCCACCCACTCCTCGACGTCGACGCGCGCGGTGCCCTTTGACCCTTCACCTCACCTACTGTCCGTCTAGCATCGCCACCTCGGGGAATCCCCGGTGCAACCCGCGGCCCGCGGCCCACGCAGAGCAAGCACACAAGCAGGCTTCCACATGGCTGCAAACTCGGTGCCTTGCTCGGTGTTACCCGGCGCTATCATGCCATCCGAAAGGGCGGCGCGGGAGGGGGGAGGGGGGGGTGGCGCGCACCCCCCGCCGGCCAGTGATAATGGACGAATCTGATCCGGCGAGAGAGAAAGAGAGAGCCAGAGAGGGAGAGGCTGACATAAAATAAATAAAAGCTGCTGTGGGAATGAGCTGCGAGCTCTTTGGGCAGAGCGACTGGCCGGCACGTAACCGTTAGCTAGTTATCGACCCCCCACCCCTCCGTTTCCGGCCGAACCCGCACCGCGCTCCCTCTCCCTCGCTCTGCCCTGCTGGGCCGGGCGGCCGGGTGGATCTGGGTGCCTTGTGAGCACCCCGAGCAGCCCAGTGCACACCCCGAGCACGGCAGCGCGGCAGCGCGGCACGGCAAGGCTCGTATTAGTGGCACGCCAACCCTTACTTAGTCCAGTCCCCCCCCCCCTCTCCGGCCCGGTTATTTTATCTTAGAGCAAAACGCGGTTCGGTGGGTAATCTTCGCGGTGCGGCCGGGCCGTTGACCGCCGCGGTCGTGGCGTGGCGTCTCATTCCGAGCAAGTGGTGCTTTCGTCGGTCTGTCTCGCCCTCTTGCGGGGCGCTTCACGGGTGTGAGGGAGACAGAGCGACCTAAGTGCGGTTCGAAATCGGCTTGCAGGGCGACGAGGAATTTGTGTGTGTTGGAGCGGAGGCACGCCTTTCGGCTCTGACTGAAGAGGAGCCCTCCCCTCCGGCCTGGCGCTGCTGGCGCTGCTGCCCCGTGGCCTGGTCCGCCTGGCCGGAGAGCGAGCGGCGGCAGCGGGGCGGCGTGCACTGGGGCGCGGGCAGGGCAAGCTGGCCGGGCCGGCGTGGTCGGCGGTCGGACGCAGACGGATGGGCTGGGATGGGATGGGCCAGCTTGCCCAGCCTAGGAGACTGGACAGCGCCGAAAGGCCGAAACCACGGCTGTAATCGAATAACAAACAAATCTGATCGGAGAAGGGGAGGGGGAAGGGGGGCGCAAGCTGGGGCCCTGCCGCCGGGTTCTCGACGAGGTGCCCTCCGGCCGCCGCCCCGGACCGCCAGTGCCACAGCACTGTCAGGAAACAGCCGCGCCGCGCCACGTTCAAGGGTCGGCAGAAAGGCAGAGACTGGCGGGGCGGCACAGTGGCAGAAAATCGCCTTGATTTAGGGGTAAGATTTATTGCACGGCCGCGATGCCGCGATGCCGCGATCCCCTAGAGATGGCTGAGCCGATCGCCGCCGCCCCTTCTTATGTCTTCCTCGCCCTCGCCGCCCCGCAGGCCCCGCAGGCCTCGCCTTCGAAGCGCCATTGAGGGCAACATGCCTCCCCTGCCCCGCCCTCGCCATGGAACCACTAATTGGCACTCGGACCACGGGACGGACATAAACAGGCTGCAGTCGGGGCACCAGCAGGGGGGGAACCCGAGAAAAAAAATCAGTTGTGCCAGGATTCGAACCCGCACCACGGTGAGTCATAATAGACTTGCCTGACACGAGGTCAGGCCGTTATTCACCCTGCTGCCTCCGCGGGAGAGTGCGTGTGTGTGGGGGTGAGAGAGAGGGGGCGGGGACTGGGCGGCGATTATGTGGATGTCAGCTTGGGCTGTCAGCCAGTGGTATTCAGTTGAGTAAGACCGCGCGCGGTTCCTTCTCTTTCGACTCTCCTCCCTCCCTACCACAGTCAGCATCATTTCTCAGTTTCCTTTGCGTCCGCCGCCACACTGCTCGCTCCAAGATACCCCCACAGTGCACCCGTAAGGGGGTTATCGGTGACCCCACCCTGTCTGGCGCTCTGGCGGCGCCCGTGAGGTGGCGAGGCCGAGCGAGGCAGACGGGGGGAACGGCCTTGCGGATTCGCCGAATGCGGGCGGGGAACACGACGACCCCGTTCCCCTGGATCAGAACCTGCCGCCACCTGCCCCCCCCCCCCCCTCCGGCCCTGGCCCACATCCGGCATGCGGCGGCACACTACGGCACACACGGCACCGCCAGGGCACCGCCGGCGTGGATTGAACGCGATGCGGGGCGGGACCTGGGCTGTTCGTCATGGACAAAAAAAATAATAACAATAATAAAAATGAAAGTAAATCTGGCGTACGTGGACTGCATCGGCGCGCTATCTCTGCTGCGCCCGCCCCGCCACAACTGCCCCCTTCCGCCCTTCGCCCTTCCGCCTCGTTCCGACGCACCCGGGCCATCCATCAGCCGGACCTACAGCATCATCAGCACGCGTGCGCGCCACGCGCCGTGCCGTGCCGAGCCGCAGGGCATACCGCGACGTTGCGACCGACCGGCCAGCAGCCTGTTCGCAGCCTTTCCATCTTTCGCCACTTCATCTGGCTGCTGGCGGATTGCACGCACAGTGCAACACGCACGCACACACACACACGCACTCGCGATACCAAGGGCGAGATTTTATTTCGGACATGAATGCAGTACATCACTTTTCGGGCGTAAATGGCGTATCTGATAAACAACAACTTGTTTCACTCCCCGCACGGATCCCTCCCCTTCGCCCACCCCCCTCCTTTCTCTCTCTCACACACGCGCGCTCGCTCCAGCAGAGCTGAATGAGTGTCTCCTGCTCCGCGAAGTTTGGTGGCTTAGTTGTTGTTGCTGTTGTTGTTGGCGGCCGTGGCATCGAAGCTGATTGGTGTTGTTTGTCCAGAGAGTTTGACCAGAGAGAGTAGCCTATTAGGGTCTTCAGTGCGGAAGCTCCCCGCCGCAGTTGGTTCGGGCTAGCGGACTCTTAGGTGCGTTCTTCCGGTTGCTCTGGCCGCGTTCAGTGCGCCCGACTGAGTCGCCGACACTCGCAACCTAAAAAAACCTCTCAATAAACCACTCGCAGCAGCGCTACACGAGCGCGAAGAAAATAAAAAACAAACCAAAAACAAAAAGACGAAACAAACACAAACAAAAGCGAGGTCGGCGAGGTAGGGTGGCCAGGCCAGGGCGGCGGAAGGCTCGGAGGAGTTCGCTGTGCGAAACCGCCGGGGCAGAAAATGAATGTGTCGCGACACATGAGAGGCGCGGCTAGGGCGGAGTGAGGCGGCTGGAAGACCTGGAAGACGGGGGTGAGGAGCAGGAGCGAGAAGGACACAACGATGCACCGAGGCGCCTCGCAAAACAAAGCCGGAGTCCCGACGTTTTCAACGTCCAACTCCGACCGAGTGGGGGCGGGGGTTGATTTTTTTTGGGGGGCCCTTTTTTGACCTTGCCACCATTTTGGCCGATGGTTGCCATGTTGCCTACACTGCCACCTGCGCGTTCTCGAAGCTTCTCTCCTCGCATAAGCAGCTGTCAAAGCCAATCTTGCTGTCTCCGAAAGACGCGGCAACAGTAGGCAGGGAGACGCCTGCAGACTGCCTCCGAGGCCCCTACGTCACTCCGTCCCTCTCGCACCGATGCGGGACGCTCCGTGAGTGCGAGAGAGACAGAATCGGTCTGCAGGAGAGCGGGGCGAGGATCGCAAGCATGGCGATAAGTTTGTTTCCTGTCATCTTCTTTTCGCTTCCAGAAGTTTGGAGGGCGGCTGGCTGCCGGTGGTGGTGCACGGGCACGCCGCCGTGCCGAACAGCGCGTCCCTCTGTCTCGCTCGCACTCGCTCGCACTCGTGAGGCGCCCCGTCGGGGCGCGAGAGAGACAGAGGAAGAGCCTGCTGCCTGGTCCCGGTGACAGCGGGCCGCCTCGCCTAGCTTCGCGTAGCTTCGCCTCGAAACACCACGAAATGGGAAAACGGCGCCGGCCTCCCCGTCGGCCGCTGCCCTCGAGTGTCAGGGGGGCAAGGGGCCGGGCAGGGGCAGGGCAGGGGCAGGGCAGGGGCAGGGCAGGGGCAGGGCAGGAGCAGGCCACCGCACCCCACCCCGCGCCCCGCGCCCCGCGCCCCGTCGCCGACCTTGAATTTCAATGTACCGGAAGAGGGAACGAAAGGGAAGCCAGTCCGAATGGAATGGCTGACTAGCCGGCGCCGCGACAACGCCGGCAACGCCGACAACGACACTGGCATGTATGAGCCGGAACGACCCGGACATGCCGCCACGCGCCCCGCGTCGCCGCCGTGCACTCCCCACCCCCCACCCCACCCCCTCCCCCGACGCGTGCCAAGGACCACGCACGACTTGGCCACGAATTTTCGTCACGCAACTCCATGAGATTTCCGCACAAATTTCCGGGCGAGTTCGACTGGCGCGCGAGCGGGCCGGGCCGGGCCGGACGGCGCACTGTGACTGTGGCCGGCCGGGCGTTGGCCCTGGAAGCCTGGAAGCGAGCTGGAAGCCAAGGAAAGGGAGTCTTTCGCTTGCCAGGCAGCAGGCAGCCCCCGCAATCATGTAGAGAAGAATATATCACTTGACCTTGCCCGGGATTGAACCCCGTCCAATTTGGCGAAAGCCAAAGCATGGCCTGCGTGTGTGCGGAGGACCGCCGCTCTGGCACTGCCCCCAGCTCGGCCCGGAGCCACAGGCCCCGGGCCGGCGGGGTGGGGTGGGGACGAGTGTGGGGGCGGACCCTGGCTGGACCAGCGCCATGGAC